CCTTGTAATATCTGAAATAAAGGACTAATTTAGAAGTAGTTAGTTTTAAGGATGGCTTTTGCCAATTAATCTCTCTTAAAAGCCTTGAAAATTATTATGGGTTTGTACGGAAACTGTTTGTTTTGCTCCGGTAAAATTAAAGATGGCAGCCCCCATGGTTGGCGCGATGACATCACATTGCGCGACCACCTACTTCCTTATTTTCGGCCCGGGGGAGGGCCGACCGGAACTTTTGTGTTCCGGTCAGGGGGAAATGATAACAAGAAGGTGGGCTCACCCGCTCCATCTGGATCCACTGCATGGGGCTGAGCCCTGCAATATCTATATTCGCCAATAGATGGAGCCCTGAACTTAAAATCGCGCATGCAACATTCGCGAGCAAAATGATTATTTTTCCCACAAACGTAACATCTCCCGCGGGACTTTTGTCTTAAATCCTGTGGCCTCAAAGTTTCTTTTAATGCCACGGCTAAGGCTACTGTCTGCAATTGAGTAGAGTCTATGTCAGAACACAGGCAGATACACTCAGAGACTGTTCCTTTTTTATGGTGCAGTCTGAGGATATCCTGACAGAATTTATTCGCGTTTTCAAATGCCAATTGTCTAACAATGAACTCGCTCGTTCCCGGGTCCCCAATGGACCTGTTTGCAGCCTGATACAGTCAGGCTACCAAATCTGAATAAGTTTCACTGGCACCCTGTCTGATTTTGGTAAGAACTAAATTGGATTGGTCCTTGGAGACGATCTGTCTCCAAGCACGTTTTGCACAATCAGTTATTTGGTTGTATACTACAAAATCATAATTTAACTGTCTTTCTAAATCAGCGAAATCTCCGGTCCCTAGAAACATCTCTACTGGCATTTCTATATCCTCCCTTTTGTTCCTTTCTGCCTGTTCAGTACAAAAATCAGTCCAGTACGTCCTCCAAAGTAAGAAATCTCCCCTGCTCAGACAAGATCTGGCTAAAGAAATCCAATCGCTAGGAGGAAGGGGTTGTGAGCAAATATTTTCTATCAGGCTCTGTACAAAAGGCGAATTTGGNTATATAATCTGTGAAGAAAAGGAACTTGAAGGCCTTGCTGACATCCAGGAGGCCAATCATTCATTAGCTTCATCACCCTTGATAGGCCACTAACACAGTTCCTACATCAGGTGTTATTCAGGGCTGTGATATTTTAATGAATTAAATGCATGAAGAATTTAATTTTCTGGGAATGACTAGTTATATCTCCTGTAGTTCAGGCTTCTTCCCCAGTTTTAGAGCTCTGAATCTCAGTGTCTCAATGAGGAAAGTTATATTGGGGGTGGGGAATTGCTAAATCTGGYTTCTTCTCTCAGGGGCGCAGTCTGGATCTGCACAGAGCAAGATGCTGAGTGGAGTGGGCGGCTTTGTGCTGGGTTCGCTATTTCTTGTGCTGGGGATGTTCATCTACTACAAGAATCAGAAGGGTAAGGAGCCTGCTGGAGCTGAGTCTCCATAGCTTTTCTGGGAAAAGAAATAGGACCTTGCAGAGGTCAGTTCTTATGTCAGTGGTCCTGTCTGAACCTTTTCTTCATGTGATCTCAGATAGCCTGGAAATTCAGAAGTCAATGTCTGTGGTTACTWTGTCAAAACCTAGAGGGTTGTGGCCTATATAGGTATGGAAGGCTAACCAGAGTAGAGGTATGGGTCAAGTACCTTGAGCAAATGAAGGAAGAGCCAGTAACCATTGGRTTTGTGTGACAGGAGCTTCCTGGTCACATATTGTCAGCTTGTGCTCCCCTCTCTGCCTTGGCTGATGTGGGCTGTGGTGTTGAAGGAATCAAAAGTGGCAGATCTGAGGCTGGGGATATGGTGTTTGGGGTCAGATTTGCTTCCAGGTTTTTAAGTATCTATCTCCTCTTTCCTAGGACGCTCTGGACTTCAGCCAACAGGTGAGGTCCTTTAATCCTCTCTCAGAGATGGATTTGCTTTCCCTACAGCAGAAGGTAGAGGTGATAAGACCCRAGACAGAACTACTGAGAAAGATTTTGGATTTGATTTTCTGATAAGGCAGTGTGCACTAAACCTTCTTTCCATTTAATGAAAGGCCTGACTCTGAAGGAGCTTTGGCTCAGGGAGAATTGATAATTCATTTTCTTCATACTGCAATGCTCTCATGATAGACCCTGAGGGGGAAAGGGAGCCATTTGCAACGTTAGGACTGAAACACCACTGTCCTCTGCCTTCTGCAGGACTCCTGAGCTGARGAGAAGGTGACAACACTGAAGGAAGGACCCATGTCCTACCTCCCCAGGTCATGAAAAGGCTCCTGCTTGGCTCTCCTTCTTCCACAGAGACAGGGCTTTCTCAGGACTTGGTCACTCCTGGTTCAGTGACCCCACAGAACATGTCCTCCCTGCTGGCCTCCTGAGCCCTTAGCCCTGACCTGGAAGCCCCAGTACAGACACCAGCTGGACCTTGCCTTCATTCTCCGTGACTCCTTTGTCTTCAAACCTTCACACCTCCCATGAATCGCAATCACTTTGTGCCACTTTACTTTATTCCATTTCTTTTCAAATAAATGTGGGGGTGAAAATCCTCTGCTTCACAGAATTTCTTGTTTGTTTGATTATGGTACTGGGGATTGAATCCAGGGCTACTCTAGCATGAGCTACATACCAAGCCATTGTATTTTTTTGTTTGTTTGTTATGAGACCAGGTTTTTGAGGCTGACCTTAAAGGAAATTGTAGTCCTCCTGGCTTAGCCTCCCAAGTCACTGGAAATATAGGTATATGCCACCATTCCCAGCTGGTTTATGCAGTTTTAAGGAATAAACAATAGAAAAAAGAAAGGGATCATTACTTCACAATACAACTGTTTTCATTTGTATGTTATATGCATGTAGGGTAATACATAGGTTTAGTTTGGTTGATTTAGGTATTCCCCAATGTATACATCAATCAAACATCAGGCTATGGTCCATAACTATGCTTTTAACTTATCAATGTAAAATCAAAAAATTAAAAAGGCAATGCCTAAAAATTCAGCATAGACTAAACAATTGAAACAAATGTAACAATGGGAAATAAGTAAATTTACAAATGGGAAAAGTAAATCAAACATTTTTTTTTCAAATTTTACTTATACCTAAAACACAGTATTACTGTAATCCCATACCAGTGTATGGATGTATTCATAGATTTCACTTATATTCTATTATAAAAGAGGCAAATGGATTTCTGAGAAAGTCCTTTAATTGACAGATTTGGGGTTTTCTACTCTTGTGTTCCATCTGAAGAGCCAGTTAAAATGTAAGTCAAGTCATAATGCAAATAATCAATTCAGAAGTTTATTTCAAAGTAATAATCATTTGGACACAAGTTTTCCACTGTCAGAAACACCTTTTTATTTTCAAGCAAATTTAAAATTTATATGATGTGTATTTTATTGTAAGTTCTATTGCATAATATTTATGCAAAGCAGAATTTCCTATAAGATGTTGCTAAGTTGATAGTGATGCCTGTTCTAGCTGATGCTAGGACTGTAACTTTACTATTACTTTGTTTCCTCAGATGAAGATATAATTTGTCTCATTCTATTGGAGATGTGAAATGTAAATTATAAGGTAGAATTAAAATGTATCACATACATATTTCAGTGACAGTTCTTTGTACTGAGAATAGCAGGAAATCCAATGTAATTGGTTGTATTTTTCTTTAACTCATGATCAGTCAAAGCAGCTGGATCCAGGGCTGCGCAGTTCAGTTGGCCAGTGGCATCTGCAGTCATCCTGGAACTTCATCCCTGAGTCACAGCATGTCAGCCTTCCTGAGATGACAGGAGGACACCTGCAGCAGTTTTAGGCTTCCTATTCTCTCGCCATAGCTCCTAAAATGTGAAACAGAAACTGTCTCCTTCTGTGTGCTCTTGTATGGAGCAGCTGCAATTCTCCCAGCCATCCCAGACCCCTTCCTCACACATGGGAAGACCTTGTGATCACAGGGGCAGCCAAACAACCCATAGTTCAATGTTTGTGCAGTGGGCCAGATGCACACGTTCAAAGAAAAGACTGTTGGGTTGGGTAAGAAAGAATTATTTTAGGGTGGGGAATTGACAGTTTCTGATACCATTATTTTGCTAGTGTTTTTAGTTAATTTCCTCAGGAAGGCCTGTTGATTCCTGTTTGGTKGTTGTTTATTTAAGCTTTATTTTTGACCCTGGGGATTGAACCCAGGGGCTTTTACCCAGTGAGTTTCATGCTCAGCTCTTTTTATAACTTTTTATTTTTCTTTTTTT